ACACACACACACACACACACACTGCTAGGCATGGTGGTACAAGTCTAAAATTCCATGTACTAAGGAGGCTGAGGCAGGAGGACCCCTGTCAGTGTGAGGCCTGGATGACATTAGTGAGTTTAAGGCCAGTCTGCACATACATTGAGTCCCTGTCTCAAGAAACAAAATAAAATATCTATGTATTTACTTATGTTTGTAATAAATGTCAACAAATATGTACTGTGTCTCCATTTTCTCAGATAAAAGGTAGTATATAAAATGAAAAAACCCTGTATCTTTTTCTCCCATATTAACAGTATGTTTTGGCGAGTACACTACTGCACTGTGTACATGTATATGTTCATACATGCATATACATATTACATACATAGAGTTCTACATTCTTTTTATAGCTGTATTGTAGTGCATGTTATGGACATAGAATATTTTACTCACATGGTCTCTGTCTTAGTCAGATGGGCTTCTGTGACAGAACAGATTGGGTAGCTTAAAGGTTTCTTTCTCATGCTTCTGAAGGCTTGAAGCAGCGCGGCAGCGCAGGTGGGTCCCTGCTGAGGGCCCTCTGCTGGGTCACAGCCGCTGCCCTCTTCCTGCTTTCGCACATGCGGAGAGAGACACTTCTGGACAGCTTCATCTCCTGTGGAGTTATCAGTGCCTCGTGAAGCTGCCACTGTCCCGACCACATCGGGCGACAGCTACCGCCTAAAGGCCGTCACTCCACGCGCCACACCGCTGGGGACCAGGGACTTAATGGGCGATTTGGGGGCACAGACCCTCAGTCCAGAGAAGTCTCCTTTTAGCAAATAGTTGTTTTGGGGCTGGGGAGATGGCTCAGTGGAATAAGCGCTTCCCTGGCAAACACAAAAGCCTGAGTTCAATCCTTAGTTCCACCAAAATAAAAACAAAAACAAATAGTTGTTTTGTTTCCAGTCTTTTGTCACTACAGTTAATACTCCAATAAACAATTTTTTTTTTTTATTTTTGGCAGCACCAGGGATTGAACTCAGGCCCTTGCACTTGCCAGGGAAGCGCTTATTCTTCTGAGCCATCTCCCCGGCCCCAAGAATTTTTTTTTAGACAGGATCTTACTATGTCGTTAAGGCTGACCTTAAACTCACTGGGTAGAGGCTGGTGAGATGGCTCAGTGGTCTAAAGCACCTACTTAGAACAAGCTTAGCAAAGCACAGGGACCGTGGTTCAATCCCCCAGCACCACATGCCAGCCAGCCCCGCCCCCTGGTGGGCTGAGCTGGCCACACACACACACACACACACACACACACACGCACACATAAATTAAAAAAAAAATTAACCTCACTGGGTAGCCCAGGCTGATGTCAAACTTCTGGTAATCCTCCTGCCTCAGCCTCCCATGGGATTACACACGTGTGGCACCACATTGGGCCTCCAATAAAGAATCTTGTGATCATGTCTTTGGAATAAGGGTTTTTTTTTTTTTTTTGCTCCGAATGCCCTCAGGGGTGGTTTGGCTGGCTGGAGTGTTGTGGAGATTGAACTCCAGCAACCTGAGGCTGAAAGCTTTGCCGAAGCAGCCACTTAAAGAACTGAGCTAGGGCCAGGCCAGGATGTCTTTGGGATATAGTCCTGTAAGTGGTTTTTGCTAGGTCTAAGACATTATGTGGTTTTGTAGATATTGGCAAATTTCCTGGTGTAGGTGTTTTGCAATACCACTAATTACATGAAACTGTGTGTTTCCCCCAGCACCACGTGCCAGGCCGGCCCTGCCCCTGGGCATGCTGAGCCAGCCATGGAGACCTTAATCCCAGTGCTGGGAGGCTGAAACAGGAGGATCACTTGTGCTGTGTAGTGAGACCCTGTACCAAATACATTAAAAAAAAAAAAGAAAGAAAGAAATGAAATAAACTGTGTATTTCCCCATGGCTTTACCAATAGGCCAGCATGTCAAACCTGATTTTTGTGATAGGAGAAAAATGGCCTTTTGGTGTAGTTTTGCTTTATGTTTCTCTCCTTATGAGGTAGGTTGAGTATTTTTCATGTTTGAGAGCCATTTACCCTTCTTCTAGCAGCTTTTATTCATTTTTATTGTTTTCTCCTTTTCTCTCTTCTTCCTTTGTGTCTGCTCTTGCCTGCCTGCTTTTCTCTCCTTTGTTTCCCATGCCTTTCCTCCTTCCACCATTTTTGTTGTTGTTTACTAGGGCTGTTTACCCTCCCCTGTCCCTTTGCTTACTAATATTAACTTGGATAACTTCATTCGTCCCCCTTCCAGGTTACAGATTTCTTATTCTTGTCTTACAACCCCCGCCCTGTTCTCTGTTTTGTTGGCAGCGCAGGGGATTTGAACACAAAGCCTTGCATATGGTGGGTGAGCGCTCTGTCCCTGCGTCATCTGTTCTATCTTATTTTCTTCCTTTTCTATACAAGACAAGCTTGAAAAGAAATTTTCCAGGGATTTTTTGGGGGTCACACTGGAGATCAAACCCAGGAGCACCCTACAGACTGAGCGGCATCCTCAGGCCTTGGGTTTTTATTTGGGGGCAGGGTCTCAGAATGTTGCCCAGGTAGGACTTTAATTTGTGGTTTAAGTGCTGTCTGGATTTTTTTTTTTAATTCAATGAGGTCGGTGTCATTTTACATGAATTTAAACTTTATGGGGGAAAATGGGCTATTTCTTCAAAGAAGATCTATACAGATGGCTCAGCATGTCAGATACAGCATGACTCTGCATCTTTGGATTCTCCCAACTCACTTCTTTTCGAATACAGGAACAGAAGTACGCTCTGCAGATACGTGAGCTGGAGGCTCGGTTCCATCAGAAAGCCAAAGAAATTGCCATGATTCATACGGAGCTGAAAACAATAAAACAATTCCAGAAGAAAAAAACCCAAGTGGAGAAAGAATTAGATGAAGTAAGTTAGATTCTTTTTTGTCTTCCTTCTTCAAAGAGATTTGAGGGCTGAGGAGATAGCTCAGCAGTCCAAGCACCTGCCTGGCAAGAGCCAGGAGCCAGGTTCTATCACCAGCACTCATGAGTGCCACACATTTGTAATCCTGGCGATGGGGAGGCTGAGGCAGGAGGAGCACAATGAGTCTGAACTACATAGTGAGACCCTGTACCAAGTAAATAAATAAATAAATCTTTTTTAAACAAAGAGATTTGAGAAAGTTCTAAAAGAAAATGTAGTTAAGATAATGAGTGATACTTTTATTTTATTTTATTTATTTGCATTTGGTACAGGGTCTACAGGGAACAGGGCCTCACTACGTAGATCCTCATAGTGAGCCTCCTGTTTTCAGCCTCCCAAGTGCTGGGATTACAGGCCACTATGGCCAGTCTCAGTCGCTGTCTCAGCAAGCCCCGGGGGCGGGGCCAGCACTGTACACCAAGGATTGAACCCTGGCTACTGTGCTCTGCCTAAGCAGGTGCTTTAGTCTGCTGAGCTATCTGGCCAGCCCTTATGATACTTTTATTTTATTATTTATTTATTTAGTCTTTTTGAGACAGGGTCTCACTATGTAGTCTGGGCTGGCCTTGAGCTCACTCTGTAGCCCAGGCTGGTCTCAAACTCACAAGGATCTTCCTGTCTCAGCCTCCCGAGACTGCTGAGATTACAAGAGAATGCCACTACTCCTAGCATGAGTGAATTTTAGAAAATCTGAACAGGTCCATGACACGTAGGGCGAGGAATGCTAAGTACTTTCGGATAATTTCTTTGACCTTACTGTGCTCCTTCTCTTGCTTTTATTCCTTCATCTCAGAATATAATTGTATTGCATTAGTGACAACGTGATAAGTCATACCGTTAGCTGAAGTCAACTCTTTGAGTGTAGGACAAGTCCCAGGGCCGACCAGATAGCTCACCGGATTAAAGCACCTGCTTAGGTGGATGCAGGGACTGGGGTTAGATCCCTGCCTGTGTCCTGGCCTCGTCCCAGGGGCCAGCTGAAGCAGGAGATTGAGACTGGGTGTGGTGGTGCTCGCCTGTAATCCCAGCACTTGGGAGGCTAAAAACAGGAGGATCACTACGAGTTGGATCTGTAGGGTACCGGGTCTACAGAGTCTCACTACACAGATCCAACTCGTAAAAAATTTCCTTTTTCTTCATATGTTAAATGAAGACAAGAATTATTGTCTTACTGTGGGTTGTTGTAGAACTACATGAAATAATACTATATATAAAGTGCTTACAAACAGTGGGTATGATAGAGTGAGGACGATGTGAACAGTGATGCGCAGCTGCGCTGCCAAAACGTGCAACAGATGTGGGGCG